GTAAAGGCAGGAAAGTGTAATTAAGTGTATGAATGTCCCCGACACGAATCCGTGATTCGTGTTTCGACTGCTTTTCCGGACGAAAAATGCGAACGTTCGCAATCCGGTTCGCGAACCAGAAATGTCCGCGAGCTCGAACATGAAATTCGTGATGCTACACCTCCGTAGATCCTTCAGGGTGGTGGTGTTCCTCCGGATGTGGAAAACTCTGCATTCAGCGTGAACCGTGATTTTTTTGGGAATCTCCGTAATGCTTGTAAAGTTGTCTGGTGCAGTGGTGGTAATAGTGTTCTTGGTGCTACTGCCTCTGTTGGCAGCTATTGTCATGTTGATTGTGATGATATTAGTCTTGGTGCTGTTTTGGACGCCTTGCTCCTGGTGACGCCTTAGGCTGGTTGCAACGTCTATATCGGTATTGATCTTCCGGTTGTCGCTGCTGCGGGGGTTCTCTTTTTATGCTGTATTTATGGAATGGTGTTATTCATTTTCTTTCTTTGTTTGTGTGTGTGTGTGTGTGTCTCTCTCTCTCTCTCTCTCTCTCTCTTCTCTCTCTCTCGTCTCTTTCTCAGGCCACATGGCATGGCTATCCAGAAGTATGTCAGCTACTCGTGGACGCCGGGGCGTCACTAACAATCGCTGACGGCAATGCCCAAACACCGTACATGCTCAGCCAGCAAGTCGGCAATCTGGAGCTGCAGAAGTTCATGTTTGCCTGTGAGCAGCGGCAGCGTATCAAGGAAGATCAGAGTGAGACGGCGGTGTGAGTACTACCAACGGGTTTGTGTTCCATGCCATTGCTGCCACGGGTTCTGCGTGATAGCGCAGGCTATACACATACAGTGCCGTGTCTTGTCTCCACGTGGAATCATGACACCTAGGAGTTTGTTTATGCCCTTGTGCTGTCGGTGACGTCCTGATCTGCTCCCGTCCGTGGACCGTACTCGGCCCCGTGCTAGCTCTGTCTTTGCGGCGCCATCCGGCCGTCAACATCTTCACGGTGACCCTGCCACGTGTCCGGACACGGGCCAACAAGTACCGTGCTGTCATGTACGTTGTCGGATTACCGGCAGCGACTGTGCTTCACGCTAACTCTCTCTCTCGCACTAGTCTACTACCGACATCTTGCTTGCCCACCTTTTGGACACAGCGCTGATTTGAGCAGGACCATTCGGCCGTGTTCTTGGTGTGTCGCGCCATCTTTTTTTGTTTCGTTTTGTTTTAGCTTTATTAGCTTCCTAGTTATATTTCATCATTGTTAGATGTGTAAAATGATGTTCTCCGCCAATCATAGGCGGACGACCGGAAGAAGAAAAAATGCACATCATTATGAAACATAGAGAAATTTCGAAATTCCCCTTTTTGCCTGCCTACCCGCCCAATCTCCCTGAAACGCGGACGTTACTTTTTGCATGTGCACGCCTGGTTTTCACGGGTTACGTCGTTTTGAGAGATTTCCGCACGCCGTGCTGTCGATTTCTAATTCGCTGCAACAGCAGCCGCCGCGCGCATATAACACATATTTACTGCCTGGTCTCCTGCGTCCTATAGCTTTGTCCGTTACTCTTTCTCGTTTTTACCCGTCCGTCGTTTTCTCGCCGTGTTGGGTTCCTTCTTTGCTTGCTTGCTTGCGCCGCTCTTAATCTCGTCTGCCGTCCCGCTGCTGGCAATCACCCCAGCTCTCCAGTGTTTGAGAGCCCGGTGAGTGGCTGGGCCTAGCTTCTTCCACGCAGAGTCAGCTGCCAAATGGGACAAGCTACCCCCCGCAATTTTTTACAATCCAATTATATATTGATGTTGATCTCCCCTCCCCTTATTGCAGCAAATTGATTGGTGCTACAGCATCCATTGCTTCCGTTTTGATTTTTTTTTTTCTGAACCTTTGACCCGGTCGTCGTCCCCCTGTTACCCGATATCCAGCCCCCTGTGTGCGGATGTGATATTCTTCTAAGTAAATTCTCGCAGCGCCGCTAACTGTGTGTCGCTAGCGCCGCTGACCGCGACGTGTGGCACCTTGCCTTGTATTAGTAATCTCTTCTTTTTCTTCCTTTTTCAATCTCGTCCGTGTTCGTTTATTTGTTCTCGTTTTTTATGCTCCGTAGTCAAGCGAAGACTATTAGTCATTGTGCTCGTTTTCAGTCGTCCGTTACTTAGTGACTAGCTTGTAGTGGAATCTCTCGCCATCTGATGCGTTTAGTTATACTTATTCCTTTAAATACCTCCTACTCCTTATCTGGATATTCTCGGCGCGAGGCTGAAGCAAGCCTGCCCGCCGTCTCTACAGTTATCCTCTCTGGCTGACTGACTCTATTTTTCCCTCTCTCTCTCTCTTCTCTCTCTCCTTCTGTACTGTACATATAATGTCAATGTACATTCTTTCCCATTCGTTAAGATCTCTCGCACATGATTTAGGGCTGTGTGTGCAGCCACCCTTTGTCAATTCATAGTTGTAGTTCAATTTCGAGAAATTTAATTAAAGCTGCACTCCATTTTCTACAGATGATCCTCCTGTTGGTCTTTGATTGGTCTGTGAGGTGGTTGTGTGAGTTTGGTGATCTCTCTCTCTCTCTCTCTCTTTCCTCTCTCTCTCTTTTCTCTCTCTCTCTCTCGCTCTCTCCTCTCTCTCTCCCCCTCTCTCTCTCTTCTCTCTCCTCTCTTCTCTCTCTCTCTTCTCTCTCTCTCTTCTCTCTCTCTCTTCTCTCGCTCTCTCTCTCCCCCCCCCCCTCTCTCTCCCCCCTCTCTCTCTCTCTTCTCTCTCTCTCTCTCTCTCTCTCTCTCTCGCTCTCTCTCTCGCTCTCTCTCTCGCTCTCTCTCTCGCTCTCTCTCTCGCTCTCTCTCTCGCTCTCTCTCTCGCTCTCTCTCTCGCTCTCTCTCTCGCTCGCTCTCTCGCTCTCTCGCTCTCTCTCTCTCTCTCTCTCTCTCTCTCTCTCTCTCTCTCTCTCTCTTCTCTCTCTCTCTCTCTCTCTCTCTCTCTCTCTCTCTCTCTCTCTCTCTCTCTCTCTCTCTCTTCTCTCTTCTCTCTCTCTCTCTCTCTCTCTCTCTCTCTCTCTCTCTCTCTCTCTCTCTCTCTCTCTCTCTCTCTCTCTCTCTCTCTCTCTCTTCTCTCTCTCTCTCTCTCTCTCTCTCTCTCTCTCTCTCTCCCTCCACGTCGTGTCACCATCTCGCTCTCTCTCTCCTCTGTCTCTCTCTCTCTTTCTCTCTCTTTCTCTCTCTTTCTCTCTCTTCTCTCTCTTTCTCTCTCCTCTCCTCTCCTCTCCTCTCCTCTCCTCTCCTCTCCTCTCCTCTCTCTCTCTCTCTCTCTCTCTCTCTCTCTCTCTCTCTCTCTCTCTCTCTCTCTCTCTCTCTCTCTCTCTCTCTCTCTCTCTCTCTCTCTCTCTCTCTCTCTCTCTCCACGTGGTGTCTTGAGGTGTGCCATGCAGTGGTGGGCGTATTAGCTCACGTCAGGGCGCTGGTGTGCTTTGAGGCCATGGCGTATGGTTGCCCTGTGTTAGTCCTAAACGCACCTGGCCCATAGAAAAGAGATCACAGTTGCATACTCTTGTTTATGGACTCTTGATTACATCAGAGAGGTTCAGTTACACGTTCTTTTGCCTTTTTTCAAAACGCGGTGAAAATCTCACGTTTATACGTTCGAATTATAGAGGTTGCGTTACACGTGCGACCTGACGTGAAATTTTGCATAGCAGGATTCGGGTTTAGTTCGCACAAACATCAAACCTTCCAACCAACTAGATAAAACTACGGAAACCCACGCAAATTCGATCGGGATGACCAAGCGAAACTTCCAAAAACCCACGTCACGAACTTACGTGCGGGACAGTCAACTCACGTAAAACACGTAGAATTTTACGCGAGTTTTATTTTATTTTTTTTGACAAAAGTTCACGAACGTAAGAATTTTACGTGAAACTTAACCCCTCTATTGCAGCCTGGACAGCCTGGAACCTCTCTGTTTTACATTATACATTGTCCTTCCTTGTTGAGGATGAGAATCAGAAAAGGGTAGTGAGTCAGGCCCTGCCTCATGGGAGGGTCCATAGCCACCTAGGAAAGAAACACGGATGCACACACAACAGTGGGAGGAGGAGATATTAGAGAACCGCATAGGCAAATACGGATCACAGTCATGCCTTAGTGCAAAGTCAAACGCTGCACTACTACCTGGAGCAAATGTCACTTTCCTGTTGGCCGATCGCCTATGATACAGTGTGAACTCGAAGGCACAACAGCCTTTCCCTCCTTTGCTGCTCTGATAATTACTCAACCCTATATTGCTAGAATACATTATATCCACACAAGACAAGAAACTTTTAAAAAACAGCACGCAGGCAGGCAGGCATCTGGAGCAACTCGCCACAAAGTACATTTGTCGCATGTCGTTGTGAGGCAACAGGAAGAGTGTAGCGTTACTTACATGTATCTTGTATCCACTTTGTCTGGTTTCAGGCCTGGCCGTGGCACAGCTGATGTAGAGTGAACACAATGCTGGATTTCAGCTAGAGCATGAACTGTCCCGTGCAGGGAACGCTGGTCACCTAATTCTACTTCAGAAGTACATTATAGCAATAAAAACTGCTTTATGGCAGTTTTCTAAAAAAAGTTATTGTGTTCTAGTCCATGGACCCGTGTAAAAAGTAAGAAATTAACGAAATGTGATAGCTGAAAATTAAAATTTCACACAAAACCTCACAATAATCACAACACTTGAAATGCTGCTTTCAACACTAAACTTGTACTGCACCAACAATTGGCAACATGCATGCATAGGAAAGAGGATCACGAGGGGAAAAGGTCTTCTGCATGTAGCTTTTCATTCTGTGTGTGATTATTGTGAGGTTTTGTGTGAAATTTTAATTTTCAGCTATCACATTTCGTTAATTTCTTACTTTTTACACGGGTCCATGGACTAGAACACAATAACTTTTTTTAGAAAACTGCCATAAAGCAGTTTTTATTGCTATAATTTCTTTTGTTTTTTCTGTCACCAATCAATGGAATGCCCTATATCAATATGTAAATGATGGCCTTCACATCATATCAATACCATATTACACGTATACGCATTGATGTGCAAGCCTTTTCTTGCAGAAAATGGCACTAGCATAATGCATGTTCTTCTGCGGGGAAACATGTGAGCAGTGGTGGTGATACTTTTTTTTTAAACGGAGGTCATTCTGTGCATGTTGCTGTTGCAGAATTTCATGACTCTGTCATAAAATTGTCTTCCCTTTCAGATTTCTCCCCCTGAATCAGATTTATTTGAGAAATGTAGCCATGCGCCAGGTGCGTGTCGCAGATGTTTTTGTTGATTCTGTGTTTATATTGTTTATAGTCATGGGTTATCGTGATAAGGTCATCCAGCATCATATTGAAACTGAAATCGTAATCCTGTTGATGTCGATACAACTTTTGGAAGTAGTTCAATGACTTCAAACTGTTAGTCCACGATTGTCTAAAACAACACAGCAAAGGAGGAACAATAAACATGTATTAAAATGTAAACGAATACATTGCTGAGTCCAAAACCTCGTTCCAACGACTACACTGATCCTGAGGAGAAAAGGGGCAAGGCTATGGTTGGAGGTACTGAGAGATAAACAAGGCACTCCACAATAATAAAATCTTACACATCTTTTGGTGAGTATGAATGATATCCAGTCGATTCTCTTTAGGACGAACACCAAGGGACCGATGGTATTTATTCTGTGAGTTTGTCTTAACCTGTTTTATAACCAGAGAATACAATTATATCTCCAATAGATATATCTCCAATAGACATACGAATAGATTTCTTCTACAGCAAAAGATTCTAAGCCACACCGACTCATTGACTCGCCTCGTATGAAACAATTGAGTCACTAGAGAGATTCTGCAAAACGAAAATGCGTACAAACTCTCGCTCTACATCATGAAGTGCGAAACTTCGCACCTTTGGACGCGAAACTTGCAGGGAACGCGAAATGAACTGTCGTAGGAAATTTCGTGAGATCGGGTCATGGCGTACGTGCACTTGGCCCGCGCAAACTACGAAAATGTGCAGAACGCAAAGTTCGTGCAAAAATTCGCACACACTTTCGCAAGGACTGTCGCGAAACTTCGTTCGAATTTTCGTTTTGCAGAACCTCTCTACTGAACCTTTCTTTAGCAACATGACGGCAACTGAAACAGCAACAGAGAAAGTACGATACATGTACTTCACATTCTTACAGGTACTACAAACAGATTGCAGATCGTAATTCTTGCTTTGGCGGCACAAAACTTTATTTGGGGCAGTGCAATCTCGGCGGTACTCACAAATCAAACAGCCCAGACTTGAGTAAACAAATCCAATCATACAAGTACGAGATTTTCACGAGACTGCACCCATTGGCTTTTTTCGTATGAAACAAACAAGTAACTGAACCTCTCCACAATAGAGATTTCCCCTGATATGCTAATTTATTTTGCAAACTCGGCCCAGTCAATTGGTACTTGAACCTTTCCCTCCAGATTGGGAACTGCCAACGATAGTATGCCACTGACCAGTGCCTTACTTGTAAAGTACCAATGTACAATGAATATGAGTATTTCGACAACACATCTAACATAAGCCTTACCGCCAAGAAGTTGAACGTTCTTCGCACACTGTAGACAAGGGCAAAAAGATAAAAATGGATCTAAATCCGAATAAAATCAGCACACGCTTCTGTAAATGAAAGGTGAACATAAGCGAATGAATCGAAGGAAACCGGTCAACTTAGAGATCACCTGTCACCGAGTATTCCGTAAAAGGAGGCCTCGCAGCTCGGCAGCAGAAAAGCAACATTTAGAAAAGAGATCCTGTCAACTTTTCCATTATTTATTTCATTCCGCCCCAAAATCAGCACACTTTTCCGGAATGAAAGAGTCAACACAAGCAAATGAATCAAAGGCAACTGGTCAACTCACCTGTCATTGAGTAATATTCCGCGAAAGGAGGTCTCAGCAGCGCCGAAACGAAATAAGCCAGGCCATGAGACGAAATATCCGAAACAGCTCATGCAAGAAGCAGTTCCAAAGAAGGAAGTTCCTCGCGCATGCACATCCGAACACGGATCCGCGGACTGCATGCACTGAATTGAACACAATGTCTGCCGTGCACGTGCACAGCACACGGCTACCATGCGTTGGTAGATCTAATACCGAGCACCTTACGTAGAGACTTACGTAGCCTATGTGAAATACCGAGCACCTTACGTAGAAAGTTACGTAGCATAGCGGTGTCGTTTTTTCTGCCATGTGAACACAATAATAGAAAAGCTGACAGGATCGCTTTTCTAAATAATCATTACACCTGAAGCCTGCCAAGTGCCAGGTCCCCGACACCGGAATTCTAATACACCTAGGGCTGCGTTCGTTTTTAGCTACCTGGTAGAGTAGAGTCACTCTACCAATAGAGGTAGATGGTAGAGGCAAATGTACGAACGCTGTTCTACCAGATCTAGTAGTTTACACGATGTGTACGTGAAATGTTTCTTTTTTTTA